AGCAGCTGATGGATTTGAACTGCCAACCTTTTGGTTATCAGTTGAGCTCTTAACCACTGCGCCACCAGAGCTCCATATTGCTGGAGGATGTGTAAAATAATACAACTACTTTGGAAAAAGATCTGGTGGTTTCCTATAAAACTAAATATCTCTATCTCCTTGAGAGATATTGACCTGTAATTTTCTCTTTTGTAATATCCTTATCAGGCTTTCGTATCAGGAATATGCTTCTTCATAAAACACACTGAAATGTGTTCCTTTTTTCTTTATTTTCTGAAAGAGTTTGTGTAAGAGTGGTAGTAACTCCTTAAATGCATGCTTTGAAGAATTCACAAGTGAAGCCTCCTTCCTTCCCTCCCTCCCTCCTCTCTCCCTTCTTTCTTCCTCCTCCTCCTCTCGCTCGCTCGCTTGCTTTTTCTTTCTGGTACGAAGGGCATCTTAAAATCTTGATATTTATTTTCTTACTGTATTTTTTTTCCCTTAGGATGTTTGCAATGGTGCAGGACAGGGAGAAGATTTTCCATGAGATCTTTTTGGATCACTTCAAGAAAAATAAGGTGGAGATAGCAGATAAAATAACAAAACTATTTCCTTTCCTCGAGACCCTCAGAGACCACTCTTTTATTCCTGATAAACTCTATAATGTAAGTGAAGTTTATTACATCACTTCATGGCATCCCAGCCCCATGTTAATTGATACTTTGGCATCCTGGATTCAAAGTCTAGTGTATCAATCGTGTTGGCCGGGCCATGCTTCCTCTGAAGTCTCTAGGGGAATATCCTTTCTTGTCTCTGCCAACTCTGGTAGCCCCAGGCATTCCTTGGGCTGTCCTGCCCTGGGTGTCTCTCTGTGCCTCTTCTCCTGCTTTATAAGGACACCACTCAGATGGGATTAGGCCCCACCCTACTCTAGGATAATAAGTCATCTTCAAAGTCCCTATTTCCAAACAACCTCATGTTCATGGGTACCAGGGGTTAGGACTTTAACATATCTTTTTGTGAATACAATTCGAACCGTAACAGAAAGGTTTATTTATTCTTTTAAGCAGTCGATCAAATGTTTAAGAAGTTCTGAAATATTACATGAAAATAATAGTCTACCTACGTGGGGGAAAACAGCATGAGTGTTCTGTGAAATAACTTCCTAGATCTCTGTTTAACTGTGAAATCATTATTTTATGTAATTTTTCCATTGAACTTTTTAAAAGGATTCTCAAGAAGCCTATAGAAACTTGGTTCCTGTATCGAATGTGGTGTACCGCGTTCTCTGCCACCTGGAGGAGACGTTTGATGAGTCACTTCTACAAGTCCTGTTCAGCAAGGTTAACCTGAAGGAGTATCCTGATTTAATTCAGATTCATAGAAGCTTCGAAAATGGTAATCAATTCCCTCACCTCCCTTGTGGGGTCAGGTCTACTTTTCATTCATTCACTCACTCATTCAAAAAGTATTTATGGAATGCTTACCATGCCCTTAATGTAGTGGTTAAGAGCTCAGGCTGTTAACCAAAAGGTCAGCAGTTCAAATCCACCAGCTCCTCCTTGGAAATCTTATGGGGCAGTTCTACTCTGGCCTGTGGGGTTGCTATGAGTTGGAATCAACTCGATGGCAATGGTACCATGTCCCAGGCCCTGGACAGGCAGTATGAGTATTGTCGTTGTTGGGTGCTGTCAAGTCGATTCCAACTCATAGCAACCCCTTGTGACAAAGTAGAACTGCCCCATAGGATTTTTTTTTGGCTTTAGTCTTTACAGGAGCAGATCACCAGGTCTTTCTCCTGCAGAGCTGCCAGGTGAGTTTGAACCACGAACTTTCAGTTAGCAGCCTAGCACTTAACTGCTGTGCCACCAGGGCTCCTTACTGTGAATATAATGGTGAAGAAAGTGACATGGCCTCTGATCTCATTATTCAAATTATTGATCAAATGATTACTCTGCTAGACCCTAATTTGGGATTAATTATGATTTTCCTCTCCTCCCTGTGAGTGTTTGATTTATTCGCTTAGACAGGTGGTGTCTAATGAGGAGGAGGCCTTCTTGGCTACTTTGTGACATTTTTCTAAGGTGACCGGATTGTCACTGATTTCCACAGAAAACTTCATCTAACAAAGACTGGAGAAAAGTTAGCTCCCCAAATATTCATGGAGAAATCACCAGAGCAAGAATAGTCGAGCCCAGGAGGAGGGCCAGAAAGTACAAAAGGGATTCATGTGTTTGAAGAAGGCTGAGATAAAGCAGAGAGTGGGGAGGGAGAGTTTAGAAGTTGATTCTGCAGTGAAGGTTTGGACATTCCAAACTGAGGAACTTGAATTTTTTTCAGTTGCAGGGAAGTAACACCAGTTCTTTTTTCTTTTCTTTCTCATTAACAACCTCATTCCCTTCTCCCCTCAGCCCTTGATAACCACTAATATACTCTGGTCTCTATACATTTGCCTTTTGTGTCTGACTTCTTTGCCAGAGAGGAACCTGGTGGGACAGTGGTTAAAGCGCTCGGCTGCTAATCAAAAGGTCAGTGGTTCGAACCCACCAGCTGCTCCGAGGAAGAAAGACGCAGCAGTCTGCTTCTATAAAGATTTATAGCCTTGGAAACCCTATAGGGCAGTTCTACTGTGTTCATAATTGTTGCTATGAGTTGGAATTGAGTCAACGTTGGTGGTTGTTTTTGGTATTTGCCAAAAACAAGGTCTTCTAAAGAAATTTTATTTATTTTGTTGTTGTTGAGAATATACACAGCAAAACATACACCAATTCAACCATTTCTACATGTACAATTCAGTCACATTGATTGTATTCTCTGAGTTGTACAACTATTCTCACCCTCCTTTTCTGGGTTGCTCCCCCCCATTAACATAAACTCACTGCCCCCTAAGGTCCTGTCTAATCTTTGGAGTTACTGTTGTCACTTTGATCCCATGTAGATTATTCTTAAAGAGCATAAAGCTCAAAGAATACATTTTTTACTAGTTAAGCTAAACTATTGTTCGGTTTTAAGAAGACTTCAGGGGATGTTTTTGGTTTAAGCTTTAAAGATTATCTCAGGGCAATAGTTTCGGGGGTTCATCCAGCTGCCTTGGCCCCAGAAAGTCTGGATTCCATGAGAATTTGAAATTCTGTTCTGCATTTTACCCCTTTTGATCAAGATTCTTCTATAAAATCTTTGATCAAAATATTGAGTAATGGTAGCCAGGAACCATCCAGTTCTGGTCTCATGGCAAAGGAGGCAGTTGTTCACGGAGGCAATTAGTCACACATTCCATAGCCTCCTCCTATTCCTGACTCTTCTTCTCCTTCTGTTGCTCCAGGCAAATAGAGACCAATTGTGCCTTGCATGGCTGCTTGCAATCTTTTAAGACCCCAGCTACTATGCAATGAACTAGGAGGTAGAACAGAAGCACTAAATTCGTTATTATGCCAATTAACTGGGATGTCCAATGAAGCCATGACCATAAACCTCCAAACCAAGGAACCAAATTCCGTGAAGTGTTTGGTTGTACATAAGCAGCCTCAACAGCTACTCTTTTTTTCCCCATTGTTTTAAGTGTATCTATCACACAACTTTCGTCAGTTCAACTTTTTACAAGTGTACAACTTGACAACAATTAAATTAATTAGCTGCGCAACCGAGCCCCATCTTTTTTTTTTATTATTGTGCTTTAGATGAAGATTTACAGAGCAAATAAGTTTCTCATTAAACAATTAATACACAAATTGTTTTGTGACGTTGGTTGCCAACCCCACGACGTGTCAGCACTCTCCCCTTCTCGACCTTGGGTTCCGCATTACCAGATTTCCTGTCCCCTCCTGCCTTCTTATCCTTGTCCTTGGGATGGTGTGCCCATTTAGTCCCGTTTTGTTTTATGGGCCTGCCTAATCTTTGGCTGAAGTGTGAACATCAGGAGTGACTTCAGTACTGAGTTAAAAGGGTGTCTGGGGGCCATACTCTCGGGGTTTCTCCAGTCTCTCAGACCAGTAAGTTTGGTCATCTCCATCTTTGAATGCTGTTAGGGCTTTCTCTGTTATATGGGCTGATTTCTCTATGATCTGAGCTCTTGTCCCAAGGAAATGCCTCTTGTTTCTCCTCTAAATTTGTGCAGTTCACAGCGGTATCCCACTTATATACTTTACATTGAGATAAGCTTCCACTCATCTCCAGTCATCTTGTTGGGTGATTAATTACTATTTACAACCTTTCTGCTGCCTCATCAATCTTAAGCCCTGAGAGGGTCACCTCTTCACTGTCCCAGGTGTTGTGACATAGGAGCATCAAGCAAGAGCCACTCAGGTTCAGAGTGACCCAAGGTCTAGAAATTTCCTGCTGAAGTTTGTGAATTCATAGATGCTCCTAGATGTGTAACAATGAGATGGTGTCCCTGGTCATTGCCTGCAACCTCTAATTCATTTTTTTCCTCTGTTCAGTGTTTCAACACAAATATTTTTCTCAAAAAAGTGTCAGAGAAGAGACAGAAAAAATGCCCAGCATTCAATCAAGATGTAAAAAAGGTAATTATGACTGGATAAAAACTTTGTTTTCTGGTTTTCTAGGAGGGAAGGGAGACAAGGGAGCTGAGCTTGGAAGGAGGCTGTAATGCTGGGGATGGGGTGCCTTAGGAACACGGAGGAATACGGATGAGTGTCACTTTGTATCAGTTCCAAAATGAGTCACCTCCATGGGGAACCCAAGAGCGTTATCAAGAGGTAGCAAAGAGAGACTTTCTGGCCAATAACCTGGAGGAGGGAACACGAACCCACAACAAAGACCTTGTTGTGTCATTGAACCAGTATAATGGGTGTATTCGATGGGCAGTAAGTGTGAACTATTAATTTATATTCAGTACGAAAGGGCTAAAAACTATGGCTCATGGTCAACATCAAAGAGGAGACCCTTGGTGATGGCAGAAGAAGGGACTGATTTAAATGTGGAGATATTGAAAGACTCAGGGGGAAAGGCAGTCTCACAGACAGACGAGAGGAAGTGGCAGAAATGTGTGGAGGAGGATGTGAGGAAGTGGCAGAGATGTGTGGAGGAGGATGTGGACACTTTGAGAAAGAGAGAGGAAGAAGGCGGGGAAGAAGGACCGTGTTGCCTCTTGTACAACACCATCACCCATCACCTCTGGGGCAGCAGGCCAGGAGCAGGCCAGTAGTGTCCCATGGAGGACATAGGGGAAAAGGGTAGAGGACAGTAATCAAGACAACCATATCACTAACAGCCCACTTTTATTGAACGTTTACTCTGTGGTGGTTATGGATTCAGTGCTCACAGTCGCCCTTTGGGGTTAGTATTACTTACATGCCCATTTTCCAGATAAGAAAACTGAAATCTAGAGAGACCATTTGTGTATGTAGTTTGCCTATCAGGGAAAATTACCCAATAAGCAAGGTATGCCCAGGCTTACTTATGGTTACTTACTAATCTGTAGTGCACAATTTTACCTGTTTTTTACCACATCAAAGATGTGTGAAACTTATGTGAATTTGTGCACTACAGATTAGTAAGTAAACACAAGTAAGCCCGGGCGCACCTTGTTTATTGGTTAATCCACCCCTGTCTAAGGTTAAATGAGCAAGGACTAACCCAGGTGTTCTGAACCCAGACCCTGCTTAATTTTTTTTTTCACTGAGGTAAATTTCACATACCCATTTTAAGTGTACAATTCAGAGACATTTAATACATTGACAGTGTTGTACAATCATCACCTCTACTTAATCTCAAAAGACTTTCATCACCCAAAAAGGAAATGCTGTGCCCATTAAGCAGTCACTTCCCATTTGCCTGCCCCCTCTCACCCCTGGCAACTGCTGATCTTTCTGTCTCTGTGGATTTACTTAGTTTGGCTGTTTCCCATAAATGGAAGCATACAATATGTGACCTTACGTGTCTGGCTTCTTTCACTTAGCATGATGTTTTCAAGATTCATCCATGTTGTACCATGTGTCAGGACTGAATTCTTTTTCAGAGTTGAGTAATATTCTACTATGTAGATATACAACCTTTTGTTTATCCATTCATAAGTTGATGACCATTTGGGTTGTTTCCACCTTATGGCTTTTGTGACAGAGCCTGCACTTGTAACCCTGTACTGGTACCTGGGTAGTCTAGGGGAAAGAAAGAAACACGAAACAAAAATGGGAAAATATATGTAGAGAAAGATACAGAAAAAGAAATACCAAGAGCTGGAGGAAGTGGTGGAGGATCAGGCGCTGAAATTCTCATGGAAAGGCCAAGAAGAAAGTGACCGATGGTGTAAGGAGGGTGTGATATAAAGGGGCATGAGGGAGGAGGCAGCCAGGCCTTTGTAGGAACTAAGGTCAGGCCACCAGGCAGGGGCAGCTCTGGGGGCAAAGGCAGGTTCACTGTAGCAGGAGAGTCAAGAGAATCCATCGCCAATTATCAGAGTGCCCTGTGGAGGACACTCAGCGAGCTGGCCTGGAGAGGCCCTCAGCCAGGGGTGCAGCTGACTGTCTCTCCTCTCTGGGGGCAAGAGTCAGACTGCAAGAGTCAAGTGAGATCCACCAGGTCCAGAAGGGGTCTGTATCGATAAAGGAGGGGACCTTTGACTCCTTTGTTATAAAGACTAAAAAGAAAAGATTAGATTAGAATGATGGAACCTCTGCTTCAATGTCTGAAATGAACTTCCAGTTTCTGCCTCGCCACTTCCGGAACAAACATTTCTGATGTACTTAGATGGAAAATTAAAAAAAAATAGTTCTAAGAATTATATTTATCTACACACGTTATAAGGAGCCCTGGTGGTGTGATGGTTAAGCACTCAGATGCTAAGCGAAAGGTCAGCAGTTTGAGCCCACTCAGAGGCTCTACAGGAGAAAAGACCTGGCAGTCTGCTCCCGTAAAGATTAAAACCTAGTAAACCCTATGGGGGCAGTACTATTCTGTCCTATTGGGCCGCTATCAGTTGGAATCAACTTGATGGCACACAATAACAACTTACACGTAATCATCTTCTTTTGTGGAAAATAATGTAAATTAAAGATCGATACTAAATTCAGCCAAAATAATGATCAGTTAATAGATGAGCATTGCAGATAAAGGGAAAAGAGAAAGATAAAAAGATACAGAGTTCAAGGTAAAAAGAAAAGCACATAAGAAATGAAGACAGAAAGAAAGGTAGAAATACAGACTGAGGCAGTAGGCAAGAAGGTGAGATTCAGCGCACCCTTAGAGTTATCCTCCCACATGGAAGTGGGGAGAGAGGGAGTAAGTGATGAGATGGAGATCTTTGAAGGGGACAAATGAAAAATTCTTCATAAATCATTATGTGGTCCTGGGGCAAACCTACTCAGATATGAAAATCAGATACGTCCTTGTGTTGTTCATCTGGTAGATACATGGGAGGTCATTTCATCTTGTCACCCAGAAAATATCCCAGAAGATCAACAAACGAGGACAGCCCATTGCCAAGCATCTGACATAATAGGTAAGGCTAACTGAGGCATCTATGATGGGGTGACACTGATGTGTCACAGCAGAGATGATAGGCTGGGTTGTGTGATCAGAGGCCAGCATGGTGGCCCAGGGAGCACAGGAGGGATGCAGGGAGAGGGAGCTTCTACTTAACAGAGGAGCATCAGTGGGAAATGCAAAAGTGCTGGGAGACATAGAAGGGGGGATAAATGACTAAGAGGAGGTATGTAGAGAAGGTAACTAGTTGCTGCCAAGTTGACTTTGACTCATGGCAACTCTTTATGTGTCAGAGTAGAACTGCTCCATAGGGTTTTCAGTGGCTGATTTTTCGGAAGTAAATTGCTAGGACTTTCTTCCTAGCTCCTCTGGGTGGAACTGAACCTCCACCCAGAGGAGATTTGATGCATTGAATGCAAATGACTGAAAACCAGATGAGTTGTGGAATGACATCAAGGACATCATACATGAAGAAGGCAAGAGGTTATTAAAAAGACAGGAAAGAAAAGACCAAAATGGATGTCAGAAGAGACTCTGAAACTTGCTCTTGAATGTCCAGTAGCTAAAGCGAAAGGAAGAAGTGATGAGGTAAAAGAGCTGAACAGAAGATTTCAAAGAGCGGCTCAAGAAGACATAGTGAAGTATTACAATGACATGTGCAAGGACCCGGAGTTAGAAAACCAAAAGGGAAGAACATGCTTGCCATTTCTCAAGCTGAAAGAACTGAAGAAAAATTTAAGCCTCAAGTTGCAATATTGAAGGATTCTATGGGGAAAATATTAAATGATGCAGGAAGCATCAAAAGAAGATGGAAAGGATACACAGAGTCACTGTACCAAAAAGAATTGGTCGACGTTCAACCATTTCAGGAGGTAGCATATGATCAAGAACTGATGGTACTGAAGGAAGAGGTCCAAGCTGCACTGAAGGCATTGGCGAGAAACAAGGCTCCAGGAATTGACGGAATACCAGTTGAGATGTTTCAACAAACGGATGCCCCACTGGAGGTGCTCACTCATCTATGCTAAGAAATTTGGAAGACAGCTACCTGGCCAACTGATTGGAAGAGATCCATATTTATGCCTGTTCCAAAGAAAGGTGATCCAACAGAATGCGGAAATTATCAGACAATACCATTAATATCACACACAGGTAAAATTTTGCTGAAGATCATTTAAAAGCAGCTGCAGCAGTACATCGACAGGGAATTTCCAGAAATTCAAGCCAGATTCAGAAGAGGACATGGAATCAGGGATGTCATTGCTGATGTCAAATGGATCCTGGCTGAAAGCAGAATACCAGAAAGATGCTTACCTGTGTTTTATTGACTATGCAAAGGCATTCAACTGTGTGGATCATAACGAATTATAGATAACATTGCAAAAGATGGGAATTTCTGAACCCTTAATTGTGTTCATGAGGAACCTGTACATAGATCAAGAGGCAGTCGTTTGAACAGAACAAGGGGATACAACGTGGTATAAAGGCAGGAAAGGTGTGTGTCAGGATTGTATCCTTTCACCATACTTATTCAATCTGTATGCTGAGCAAATAATCCAAGAAGCTGGAATATATGAAGCAGAACAAAGCATTAGGATTGGAGGAAGACTCATCAATAACCTGCGTTATGCAGATGACACAACCTTGCTTGCTGAAAGTGAAGAAAACTTGAAGCACTTACTGCTAAAGATCCAAGACCACAGCCTTCAGTATGGATTACACCTCAACATAAAGAAAACAAAAACCCTCACAACTGGACCAATAAGCAACATCATGATAAATGGAGAAAAGACTGAAGCTGTCAAAGATTTCATTTTACTTGCATCCACAATCAACACCCATGGAAGCAGCAGCTAAGAAATCAAAAGATGCGTTGCTTTGGGCAAATCTGCTGCAAAAGACCTCTTTAAAGTGTTAAAAAGCAAAGATGTCACTTTAGGACTAAGGTGTGGCTGACCCAGGCCATGCTGTTTTCAATCACCTCATATGCATGCAAAAGCTGGGCAATGAATAAGGAAGACTGAAGAATTGATGCCTTTGAATTGTGGTGTTGGCGAAGAATACTGAATGTACCATGGACTGCCAAAAGAACGAAAAAGTCTGTCTTTGAAGAAGTACAGCCAGAATGCTCCTTAGAAGCAAGGATGGTGAGACTGTGTCTCACAAACTTTGGACATGTTATCAGGAGGGATCAGTGCCTGGAGAGGGACATCATGCTTGGTAACGTGGAGGGTCAGCGAAAAAGAGGAAGACTCTCAACGAGATGGATTGACACAGTGGCTGCAAAAGTGGGCTCAAACATAACAACGATCATGAGGATGGTACAGGACTGGGCAGTGTTTCGATCTGTTGTACATATGAGTTGGAACCGACTAGATGGTACCTAACAACAACAACATCCCTTGTGGTTAGCAGCCGAGTCGTTAACCATTGTACCACCCAGGGACTTCATACAGCAATATAGCCAGAGGGAAAGAAAGACAGATGGGGATGAGGAGAACCAAGACACATCAGGTTAAAGGAGACAGAAACAAAAAGAGCTGGAGAGAGAAAGATGCAGAGATTGAGAGAATAAAGAGATGAGAGCTGCAAAAAACAGAAGCAGAGGGAGAAAAACGGGTAAAGAAAGACCGAGAGAAGGTAAGAAGCGAGTGGTAATAAAATGGAGAGCAAAACAAGCAAAGCTGGCCACTGAGGTCGTCTGTCCTTGGCTTCAGCACCCATTAACCTGCAGGCCCCAGGGAAGATAGGGCTGGCTGGGAGCAGGAACATTCCTGTCTAGAATTTTGCGAGTTTCTGGGTCTTTCCTGTGTCTGCTTACTGTTTTCTGCTGTGTGGGTGTCTTGGTGCCACCTGGCGACCTCTAAGGGCTTTTGTTCATTTGTGTAGTGATCAACAGTGAGGACTCGGCAGAATCCAGTGAGGAGAATGAGTCCTGGGAAGCCTGGCGCTCAGCACTCGGAAATGGACCTGGTGAGAAGGGTAAGGACCGGCAGCCCTGGGCTCCAGGATGTCAGGGTCCAAGGTCAGAGGTGGTGTTTTCTGATGGGTTTTAACCTGAGCACATCCATAGGCAATGGTCCAGTTAACCCTGGGAACCCGTTCTCTGCATTTACCTCACCTGGCACTTTAGAAAATGAGAGGAAGCAAGGTCCTATTTGAATACGTGTGTTTATATACTAACGTTAGAGTAGAAAAATGCTAGCATATGTCCATTTTTTTCCTTTCACATATCATGCTACGAATACAATGTCTTGAATTTATGATTTGATTTTCACCCCAACCAACCCCTATCATCTGTAGAACACAAACAGTTGAGTAATTTTTGATTGTTAGATGCATAATACTGTCGTTGGAAACCTGGAAAGACCTGAAAAAAACAACTGGTTTTGCTATTTAATTACTGATGGAAAGAAAGGCTTCATAGCAACTACTGTCAAGCCTAAATAATAGTCTTTTTGACTGGTGTCCTCCAGAATGTCGTTGGCTTTTATAACAGAATTTTTCAAAAATAATTTTGGAAATAATATCTTATTTTATCTTGACAATATTCATATGGCGTAGGAAGAATAACTGTCATTTATAGATGAGAACACTTAAGCTCATAAATGTTTAAGGGCCTTTTACAAAGTCACATGGAGAATTAAAGGCAGAGGCAGGACCAGCGTTCCGATGCCTAGATCTGAATTCAGCAGACACTTGTTTTCTTTAGAAGGAAGAGAGGGAAATAACAGTCAAACAGCATTATCAACTCGATCATGTTCGCAGTGTTTGCTGTTACAGGATTTATAACTCTTTTATTAGCTGTTACTGTTTCTCTTTCATGGATTTAATGAACAAAATTAATCTGGAAATACAAAATTAATTTGGAAAACATGTAAGAGCAAATAAGAATACTCTGGGTATTCAAATGTCCTTTTTTTTCCCTATAAAGGATTCAATCTAATGGTTTGCTATATTTTTCAAGAGTGAAAAAATAAATTTCTTTTGTTCTTCTTCAGTATCGTGTTAGCTGTTCTGGGTCTTTCGCCTTTCCATACAAACTTTACAATCAGTTGGTTGATATCCACACACACAAAACAAACAAACCCAAAACTTGCTGGGATTTCGATTGGAATTGTGTTGAAATAGTAAATCAAGTTTGGAAGAACCGACATCTTAATAATAGTGATTCTTCCTATCCATGAGCACGTAATATCTCTCCATTTATTTAAATCTTCTTTGATTTCTTTGATCAGAGTTCTGTAGTTTCTTTGTATAGCTCTTGTACATGTTTTGTTAGAATTATACTTAATTTTTTTTTTTTGGCTGCTAATGTAAATGGTGTTATGTTCTTAATTTCAAATTACAATTGTTCATTGCTGGTATATAGGCAAGAAATTGAATTTTGTATATTCACCGTGCATTCTGCAACCTTGCTGTAATTGCTTATTAGTTAAGAGTTTTTTTGTCAATTATTTGGGATTTTCTACATAGATGTTCATATCATCTGTGAACAAAGACAGTTTTATTTCTTCTTTGACTTAGTTCCGTATTTGTATTTCCTTTCTTGTCTTATTACATTAGCTAGGACTTTCAGTACAATGCTGAATAACAGTGGCGAGAGGGGACATCCTTGTCTTACTCCCAGTCTTAGGGAGAAAGCATCTAGCGTCTCACCATTAAGTATGATGTTAGCTGTAGGCTTTTTGTAGATGGTCTTTATCAAGTTGAAGGAATTCTCCTCTATTAGTTTGCTGAGTGTTTTCATCATGAATTGATGTTGTATTTTGTCAAATGCTTTTTCTGCAGCTGTTGATTGATGTGATGGATTATGTTAATTGATTTTCACTTAACCACCTTCTTCCCCTGCTCTTCCTTTCACAGGGCCAAATTGTGAAAGTTAGAATTACCTATCATGACTTCTAGAACTCAGTTCTATATCTGTCTGTTTCCTTTAGAAAGGTAGAGAGAAAAATGATAACGTATTATTTTGTATGATCTCCGCCCTGACTGCAGGGTGACATATCAAGATTTACCACTCTTTTACGTACAAATTACTGGGTTTCCCTCATTGCTTTATAGATCCCATGAATATTGGAAACACTTCTACTCAGGAAATACTCATTAAGTGATTTTCCTCCGCGTTGGCTCCTTGGGCACCCACTCAAAGCTCTAAGGGATTTTATTTATGTGTTTAGAGATCAGTGGAGATGACTCTCTGAAAGTGAATCATAGAGAAGAGCACCAGGAAACCTCTAGCTCAGCACCAAGAAGTGGTCCAGGTAAGGGAGATGCAGATTGCAAGCCAAATGTCCATCAATAGGAGCTTGAAATCAGAGCTGCTTCCTGATTAATTTTGCAGTCACTGATCTCTTACTTTTAAAATCTGCCAGGTTGGAATTGGCCTGGCCTCTCCTTTAGCTGGAGGGGAATTCCTTGATTCCACTCCCTTGGAGGATTTCTTCTGACTCTGCTTTCCATTTTTATTTATTTTCTCTGTCCATTTTCCTCACTAACCACATCTGAAGTGGGCACTGGGGAGAATGCCTTCTTGAGCATTGTGCATCATTCACAGCTTTCTTTCTGCATGTCCAAGTTTGGAGGCCTAAGCTTGTTTTAAGGCTTGAACAGTTAAAAGTACTTTTAGTCCAGGTTCATGGTTCCTTGTTGTTGTTAAGTGCCGGCCAGTTGGTTCCAACTCATAGCGACCATATGTACAACAGAACGAAACCTTGCCTGGTTCTGCACCGCCCTCGCAATCATTGTTATGCTTGAGACCATTGTTGTAGCCACTGTGACAATCCATCTCATTGATGGTCTTCCTCTTTTCTGCTGACCCTCTACTTTACCAAGCATGAAGTCCCTCTCCAGGGACTGGTCCCTCTTGATAACATGTCTAAAGTATGTAAAATGAAGTCTCACCATCCTTGCTTCTAATGAGCATTCTGGCTGTACTTCTTCCAAGCCAGATATGGTTCCTTAGGCAATTTCATTAAAAACTTAGTTGGCTTCTGATTGATTTCTCTTTCATGACTTCCATGCATTAGTAACAACAACTAGAGTTCTTACCTAAACTTAATCCATAAAGCCTGATTTATTTCTTGACTTCCTCACACCCCTCCCCCAAACCTCTCTCTTAATTTAATGGTATTACCTTGAGGTTGTCTAAAACTATATCATTGGGTGTAAAGGCTACGCTTTATTTGAAATTCATCTCAGAGTTGAGATTCTCTGTTTAACTGAGAAGCCTTAACTGGCCTTCATTGCTAAAAGCCTCTTTCAGCCTCATCTCTTACTGTTTGGGATCCAGAATCCTTTGGCTTCTCTAAACCTACAAGGACCTACCTTTTTGAACTCTCTTGATTTTCTTTCGTTTTTGCTCTCAAATGAGCCAGTTATTGCTGGAGTTAATCTCTAAGCTATAATAAGTTTTCAAAGACAATGAGTACCAACAAACTGCCACTACTGATATTCTGTTTTCTAGTCTCTTTCCTTATGGGTACAGGCCTTGGAAGCATTTGTTTTTATCTTCTAAGATTTGTCATGCAAGAACTTTACCAAAAGTTTTGCCACTGAATAATGGGAATTAACTCATCTTTCCAGGTCCTGGTATTAATTTCCTGTCCACTAAGCTAATGGAACATATTTTAAGTTTTTATTTTGGCAACATCCCACTTCCAATACCAATTTCGGTATTAGTTCTATATTAGGTTCTATTGGATAATTGTTGTAACAAATAGACCCCCAAATGCGTAACAGTTCAAACAAAACACGAGTTTGTACTTATTCTTGTAAACAGTTCAAAGGGTTTCCATATTGGTATAAGATGGTAAGAATGGGCGTGGCTCTATTTCATTTATTTGAGGACCCTGGTTGATGGAGCTTCTACTGCCTTTAGCACATGTTTCCAAGGTTTCCATGTGTGAGAAAAGAGAGCAGAGGAAAAAGAAATGGGTAGAAGCAAGCTGAAAGGGTAAGAAGTGGAAAGAGAGTGGAGTGTGAGAAGAGTTTTGCAAGAAAAATCAAAAGTGCCTATAGTGGGTAAATTATTCCCATCCTCTGGTGATAAGTCAGATGAATCCCGGAGGAGAGTAGGGGGCATGTAGGTGAGTACATTCCAGTCCAGTCCTAGAACTTTCTAGATCTTTCTTAAGTGTTTTTTTTTTAAAATTTGGGATGTTCTTCCAAGTTGGTGCCTTGGTCACCTTGGTCACACCTTGATATCCCTAAAGAATTCTTTCCTTTCTCCAATGATCAGGAGCTGTTATGAAATAAAGAAGTCCCAGAAAACATAATTCTTCACCAAGACCTTGGCCAGGTAAGGAAAATTAAGATTGTAATTAAGAGTCTGAATTTCCTCGGTACACTCCACATGCAAGAGATCCAATGAGTCTGTGAATGCATTCTCTACATTTACCTTATACATCATTATAAAACTCTATGTTTAAGAAGATGTCACCTGTGCTTGAATATATGTACTCATACATTAATGTTTTGGTTGAAATATCCTAACAAAATTATACCGTTTTTTAAACTACATATTGTTATGCCTCTTGATATTGAAGTGTTGACTTTATGGTGTGATTTCTGCGTGTATTTATAGCATGTCTTTTATACACCACAGAAAGCTAAGTATTCTGCTGTTGGATAATGTTGTCATTTGGTCACAAGTACGGAACGGTCTCAAAAAACATCTAGTTCTTTATCTAGTTAGTGCCAGAAAGAAAAGTTTCACATGAACTATTTGTGACTCAAACAATAGCTTTCACAAATGTCATCCAACATTTCAGTGGCTAATGTAATCATCTTTAAAAATATTTTTGCAAACCTAAACAAGGTTTTTTCCCCCCCATACAACCTAAACAGTTAGGCAGAATAGTTGTCTCTCTGCTTTATAAATGAAGGCATCACAGCATATAAATGTTTAAGGGCTTTTTTCCCCCCAAAAAAAATCTCATAGAGATTTAAAGGAGGAGCCTGGGCTAGCATCTCAGACACCGAAAACTCAATTCTTGGGTAGAGAAATGCTCGAATAGGCAGAAACAATATTAAAAAAAAATCAGTATAATCTCAGTTTCCTCTCAAGTGCAAGTTGTTATAAAATATATCACTCTCTTTTTTTCAAAAGTTTCTGATTTTTTATTTCCTTCTATTATTTTTAGGTCCTAGGAGTATTGGAAACAAATCTTAAAAGCAGCCAGAAAAAAATCTCACATTACATACAAAAGAACAAAGATAAGAATGAATGCAGACTTCTTATTGAAACAGTACAAGCCAGAAGACACTAGAGCAACATCTTTAAAATATTTAAAGAAAAATGGTCAAGACAGAATTCTATACTCAGCCAAAATATCTTTCAATAAGTAAGGCAATATGAAGCCTTTTTTTCAGAGACAGACATGATGAAGGAATTTGTCATTAACAGACCTTCACTATAGGAAATGTTAGAGGACGTCCTGTAGGCAGAAGGAAAGTGATTCAAGGTGGAGATTTGCATCTATACAAAGGAACAAAGAGCACTGAAAATGGTAAATGTGAATAAAAATAAAATATTTTTATACTTAAAATTTTTTTTAAAGATAATTGTTTAAAGCAAAAATAGTAACTATCTTGTTGAGTTCATAACTTATGTAGAGGTAAAATATAAGAAAACAATAGCACAAAACTTGAGAGGGAGGAAATGGAAGTATACTGTTGTAAGATTCTTTTGCTATGCATGAATTTAATAATATTGCCTAAAAGTAGATTGTGCTAAGTCAAAAATGTATCTGCTAAACCTTAAAACAAGCACTGAGAAAACAAAATAAAGTAAAACAAAAACCAAAAAGCTATAGCTAACATACCAATACAGGACATACAAAAGAATCATTAAAAATACTCCTTTAAAAAGAAAGCAGGAAAAAAGAAAAAAGGAATAAAAAACAAATATAACAAATAGAAAATAGATAGCAAGATGGTAGATTTAAATTTAACCATGTCAATAATCACAGTAAATCTGGATGGTCTAAACACCCCCATAAAATGCAGAGATAGCCAGACTGGCTTAAAACCCCAAAGCCCCATTATATACAACTCACTAGAAATCCACTGTCATGGATTGAATTGTGTCCCCCAAAAATATCTGTCAACTTGGCTGGGTCATGATTCCCAGTATTGTACGATTGTGTAATCTGATGTGATTTCCTTATGTGTTGTAAACTCTATCACTATGATGAGGTTATATGTGATCTCCTTATGTGTTGTAAATTCTATCACTGTGATGAGGTTTTACTGATGAGGTTTACAAGATCAGATAGTGTCTTAATCCAATCTCTTTTGAGATATAAAAGAGAACAGTGAGAGAGACACATGGGAACCTCATACCACCAAGAAAGCAGTGCCGGGAGTAGAGTGCGCCCTTTTGGACCTGACATTCCTGTGCTGAGATCCTCCCAGACCAAAGGAAGACTGATGCATCACAAGGACCTTCCTCCAGAACCAAGAGAGAGCGAAAGCCTTCTCCTGGAGCTGCTGCCCTGAATTTGGACTTGTAGCCTACTGGACTAAATTTCTCTTCGTTAAAGCCATCCACTTGTGTTATTTCTGTTGGAGCAGCACTAGATGACTAAAACACCTGTTTTAAATAGATTAAAAGTAAACTAATGGAAAAAGGTATATACCTCACTAACATTAATAAAAGGAAAGCTGGAGTGGCTGTATTAATATCAGACAAAGTAGATTTCATAGACAAGAATATTACACCAGGAATAAAGGAGGACGTTTCATATTAAGAAATTTATCAAATTATCAAGAGGACATAATAATGCTTATTATGCTTATGCACTGAGCATCAGAGGGTCAAAATACATGAAACATAGAACTCCAAGAGAAATAGACAAATCCACAATTATAGTAGATTTTAAAACCCTGCTCTCAATAACTGATAGAACAAATAGAGAAAAACATCAGTAAGAATACAGAAGTCTTCAACAACACTATTAACCAACTTGACCTGATTGACAACTATAGAATAATCTACCCAACAACAGCAGGAACATGAAAAAGTTACCACAATAGACCACATACTGGGCCTTAAAAGTATGATTTTAAATGGTTGCAAATCATACACAGTATATTGTTTGACCACAATGGTATTGACATGAAAATCAATAACAGAAGGATATATGGAAAATCCTGCAATATATGGACACTGCTATGGGTTGCATTGTGTCCCCCTAAAATGTATGTCAACTTGGCTAAGCCATGATTCCCAGTATTGTGTGAAATTGGTCACCATTTTGTCATCTGATGTGGTTTTCCTATGTGATGTTAATGAGGCAGGATTAGAGGCGGTTATGTTAATGAGATAAAACTAAATCAACAAGATTAGGTTGTATCTTGAGTCAATCTCTTCTGAGATATAAAAAAGAGAAGTGAGCTGAGAGACGGGGGACCTCATTACCACCAAGCAAGAAGAGCCAGGCGTGTATGTCCTTTGGACCTGGGGGTCCCTGTGCTAAGATGCTCCTTGACCAGGGAAGATTGATGACAAAGACCTTTCCCCAGGGTCAACAGAGAGAGAAAGCTTTTCCATGGAGCTGGCACCCTGAATTTGGGCTTCTAGCCTCCTAGACTGTGAGAGAATAAATTTCTCTTTGTTAAAGCCATCCACTTGTGGTATTTCTGTTACAGCAGCGCTAGATAACTAAGACAAAAACTAAATAACATAATTCTAAATAACCCATGGGTCAAGTAGGAAATCAAAAGAGAAGTTATAAAGTATTGTGAATTGAATAAAATGAAAACACAATATATCAAAGTTTGTACTTAGCTGTACTTGCACCTAAAGCTGTACTTAGAGGAAAATTTATAGCACTAAACACTTGTATTAGAAAGACAATCTTAAATCAATGACTTCAGCTTCTACCTTAAGAAATTAGAGATTCTGGGAACATGGTGCTGTAGACAGAAGCACCACGCCATCCCTCCATGGCAAAGACCTGAAAAACTAAGTAAAACAGAGACAAATGTCAATCCTGGAACCCTAAGTGTCACATGAAGAGATAAAGAACTCAATCAAGCACCAAATGGTATAAGAAACGGACAGAGAACAGAGAGCGAGGAGAATTACGAGTGGAGGTCCCCTATCCGCTAACACAGCACGGATTCACCATCTTGGACTCCTGCTGGAGATCAGTGGACTGGGAGTACAGGAAAGCAGATTCATGGAGCTCCCAGCAGGAGACAGAGCACCTGGTAACCAGCCAGACACACTTTACCACCCCCCACTCTGATCCCCCTGCTTGACCTTTGCAGCTTCCCGGCAGGCTGGTCTGCTGCTTCCAGGCAGGTGGATTCCTGGCTTACCAGCAGCCCAATTTGCTGCTTCCCAGTGGGCAGGTTCCCATGTTCCCAGAGGGCCAATACACTGCTTCCCACCAGACGGATTCCCGGCTTCCTGGAGAGCTGATCCGCTGCTCCCCACTGTGCCATTACCGTGGCATGGGAGGCAGCAGTTCCGTGCTGCACGAATTCACCTCGCCCACATCAGCTGGCTTCTTCAATGCCATTTCTTTGTTGCTGGTATTGCTTTTTTTGACCTCTTTTGGTTTCTTCCCTGCTTGTCACCTCCTCCCCCCCCTTTCTCTCGAACACCTGACTCCTTGTGCCGTCTTTGCTTCTTCTTGACAAGCTGAGGAACTGCTTACCTGGTCCGCTGGTGGGATCCCTGGGGGCTTTTTTTTCTTTTATTGCTTCTTTTTTTTTTTGGGTTTGTTTTCTCTTTCTTTTTTCATTTTATTTTTCTTCATTTTTCAGTTTCTTGTCTCTTTCTACTTAGCTTCTTTTACTGTCTCCTGGATACCTGGCACTGTGTATCATCTCTACCCCTTATAGCCAGGCTATACAGCACAGCTTGGGAGCTGTTCCCCAGGCTGTGCAGCCACGCTTGTCAGATTCCTGGTGGCATTTTTTATTTTA